AAAATATGGACTTTTCACCACCTGAAACAACGGCCTGGGACCTGTTTCTTCCCACCCAGCTCAAAACAGAGCTCCATGGCTACAAGGCCATGCTTCTTGCACTTCAAAGTCAATGTGGAGAGGGTTTATACTTGTTATTCCACTTAATGTTTCTGACTTTGAAATGATTATGGGGTCTCCTCTGAATGCTTTATGGGGTAACAAAACTCAGAAGAATAGGGCTCACTCCAGCTGAGTAAATAGAAGCTATTTTCATAAATCTTGAGACTATTGGAACATCAACAACATTATCCTGTGTGGGTTGTTATGACTTTGTGTTTGCAGATTCGTGTGTTAAAGGTCGGGCCTGTGCTTTCAGCCTTGTCTTCTATTACAGCAGAAACTTCAGGTAGCCCCAGAGAAGGTTCTCCAGTCCAACAACCTCTCAGAGCCCCTCTTGAAGCTTTCTGTAGCCAGCCTGGGTAGAGATCACACTGCTTTGATCACCTTCTTTTCCTTGGAGGGAGCCCATCAAACTGCCAGGGAACCAGGATTAATCATTTCCAGTGATTTGGGGTGAAATCAGCTCCCAGGTACATTCACGGCTCATGTGTGGATCCACACCAGAGGTTCCCAGCTCTGGGGCAGCCCTGGACCTGCTCTGGAGCTCTCACACCTGGGCTGCATCCGTGGGCTCAGCATGGACTGTCATTCCTGGTGATTGCTGCTCTTCAAACCCACAGCTGGGGGAAGTGCCTGTGGAGATGGTGTTTTTCTTCCAAATTCAGCAACTTTTTTTTTTATTCTTCACAGTTTGCAAGTTGTTTGTAGCCAAAACTCACACAGCCCTGCTTGGTTTGTTTTCCATCTACTTTATTCTTACTCATAAGCTTAAAAAAAACCAGCTAATAAAACCAAAGTGTTCTGCTAGAGTTCATTATTTGGGCTGAAACACCTTCCCTTCTGTTTGATTGCCCATGGGAGGAGATGATAAGTCAGAACCTCTGCAATCTTCCCAACCAGGGAGGCAGAAATGGAAAGGAGAAATATGGAGCAGTTTTTCAGTTGATACAAATGAGCACAACTCCCTTGTTTTCTGTGGAGTTTCCTGCTTTTGCCAGCTGAAGATCCATGGCTGAGCTGTCTCACAGGTGCTGGTGATGAACCACTGATAATGCCACAACAGCCTGCTGGGCAGTAGCATCTCAGTCCTAACACACAGAACTTCCTAGGCAACCCTACTGTGCACCTCAAAACCCAGCTGGGTGGAAAAACAAGCAGGTGTAACATTCCTGGTGTGCTCAGAAGCACTCACAAGCACTTTAATCAAAGCATAGACCTTGGATAATACAAAGGATGGGTGATGCCCCCATTAATTTTGCTTCCTCTCCACTTGTTAATTGTTCAGAAAATCACAAGTTCATTTACAGACATTGCTGTTAGGTTTTGTGAAGATTGTGGGTCATCCAGCTCTTTCCAGGCAACAGAAAACCTTGGAAGAGTAAGGAATTATTTCCTGAACTAACGATGCTCCCATTGAAAAGCTTGGAGGGAATGGAAAGAAGAGAGGAGGACACTGCAAGGCAGTAAAAACAAGGAAATCCTTACCTAGACACCTCTTTTTAAAAAATATTTATTTGTAGTGTGTATTTCAACTTACCAAAGTCAGTGGCTTTAAGAACAAAAAAAAAAAACGATAATTACACCAAATAACATGAATAGCCAAAATGAGTTCTGTGGAGTAAAGGAGATGTGTAAACCCAATCCAGAGCAGGCTGGTAAATCTAAGTATGACACAAGTATGGAGGAAGCAGAGTACACACAGACAGGAACACCTGAACTAAATCCAGAGAAATTAAACTGAACAGAAGAGTTTCCCCTGCATCTTATGGACTAAGGTGTGATTTGCAGTCTAGAGCTCTATCAGAAATATGTGGCACAGTCAAAGTGGCACAGCAAAGCCAGATGCACAGTGTCAACTCATTGAACCAGGACACACTGTGTGAAATGGTAAAAAGAAAATGTTAGAGTCTATCTGTGCTCCCACACACACCCACAGCTGTGGGTTGTTCTGCACTTGCACTTTGAGACTCTTTGTACAACAAGATTATAAAAATGGTGAATCTTCATTGCATTGCATTGAATAGACTGAAAGTCTTGAAGCACCATGACATAAATTTCTTTAGCAGAAATTGTGCCCCCATGACCTCAGCTTCTTGTTTCTGAGTTTCCATCAGTAGAAAGGGGGAAATTAAATGCACATAACTCCAGGAATGACCGATCTGATGTTGACAGAGGACACTCTGACAGCCCATTCCTACTTCTTTCTGTGCTGTGGGTATTTATTACCAGGACCTAGTGGTTTACAGTCAGAATTTTTAGGTGTAATCCCCTTGGTTGTCCATGACAGTAATCCCTGGAAAGGGCCCTCCATGGCCTGCCTGCCTTCCACCCATCCCCCTGCAATGTTACTTAGTTGCTTACTGTGCCCAGACTTCACCTACAGGATGCTACTTTCTTCCATATTCTTCTGCACTCACACAAAATTTCCCTCAAAGTTTTATACCTGAGTGTATTTATCTACCTTTTGTTCTTCCTCTAAGATCCCAGTTTCACATCAACTTAGAACAACAGTTCTTGCAATTAGGTTGGATAACTGCAGTCCAAAATTTCTCCTAGGCAAGACTCCAATAGAATTAATTGGCTTCAGTGGGAGACTTGTCCTGAGTAGGAAAGGCAAAGTTTTGGCCTCAAGGAGACTATAAATTCCAGTTTAAAAATCAGTAGTTGTTCAGAGGCTCATTCCTGTGACAACATCATCCTTTGTGTTTCCTTTCCTAAATTCCTTTCCTAGTCATAGGAGGAAAGCTTCTGGCACCAAAACCAAATGATAATACCCTGGCCATCTCCCAAAAGCCTGCTAGATCCTGAAGAAAGTGCCGTTGTCTCTCTCAAGGAAGTGTAAATCCTCCAAGACGCCGGATTTCCACGTTTTGTTAGGAAAGTGTTTTTCACGCAGGCAATAAACGGGCCCTGATAACAACAACTGTGCCCCTGCCAAACTCTCCAGTTGCTTTACATGTTGCCATCAGTGCTGAAACTCCCCATACTTCCCCCCTGCAGTATTTAAGGTGTTCTCCTCATCCGTGCAGGAAGGGCACTGGTGGCCAAAGGCTGCTCACAGGTTCTGCCCACTCAGCCCAAGTGGCACCACTGAACCACAAGCACCAGGACAGGGGTCCTTTTCCACCACCACACATCTCCCTTCCTCCTCAGAAGCTGTAGCCCATGCTCCTTCCTCAGTGCAATTCCCTTTGAGGTAAAACATGAACATTTGGGTCCAAAATAGTCAAAGTACAAGTAAAAACGTAGACACTGTAAAAAAAGCCTCTGTACCAAAGCCCTCCTACAGCTTCTTGTAACTGCATGAAACCAACTTCTTTCTTCATATCTGAGATCCCAAACATTTCCCATTCTTTCAATGCTTCAGTCACTGAATTACATCCCACTTGCCAAGGAAACCTTGGGAAAACAAGTCAGTCCTGTAACACTTCCTGTAGGTCACCAATTCCTGCTGGAGGGAACGGAGCCGCTCTGACCCGAACGCTCTGACTGAGGCTGCTCTAGGAGTGGTCCCCTGGCCTCCATCAAACTACTGGATTTAGCTCCCCAGATGATCTCAGCTACTGTAGAACCACATGCAGAGCCTCTCGCCTCCCAAACTTATGACACAAATCCTTTATGACTCTGTGAGCTAATGCAGAGGGAAATGGGACTGGCACCACCCTGTTTACAAGGCCTGTGCTCTCCATGGAGAGCCCCAGGACTGAAAATGCTGCTGCAGCCCCACTTGTGTTAGAACAGAAGTGCAGATTTAGGATAGAGGCACTTTGGGTAAGAGGAGCTGTCACCCACTGGTTGCAGCATGACCAGCCTGTGGCTGAAGTCACATACATCCAAGTTTGGGTCTAGCTGATGTGATTCCCCATTTTATAAAAGAGCAGAGATGGAAATACAGATCCTGGTATCAAAGAACCCCCAGCAGTGACAGTGTGACATCCTGTGCCTGTCCTGTGCTCCCCAGTGCCCAGGTACCTGCAGTGAACACTCCAGAACCACAAATCAGAGCTTGGTGGCCTCACTCCAGAGAAGGCAGCATCCAAAGCTGTGAGACAAGGTCACAAGAAGGGAATGGATGAGATTTGGCATTAACTTTCCAGTCTGAAGATGAGTGAGGAGCAGAGGGTGTTTTCCCCAATTTCCATTTCCCCTCTTCTCTCCCTTCTGCACCTTCTGTTCTAACACTGGGCCAAAATGACTGAAAGACATTTGAGAAGCCTGGAGCTCAGTGGAGAATTGGGGCTGAGTTTTGGTGTTTCAACAGTGACTTCCTTGACACAATATTTCAGCTATCTATCACTTCAGAGAAAGGCTATATTTCTACACTGAAGCCAACCCTTCACAGACAAGTAATTTGAATTCCTCCATGTTCGCTTCCCCTGGCCTCCAGGAAATGAAACATAAGTCAGAAAAATACCCATTTTGATGAGGGTTTAAACTGAAAAGTAAAGATAAAATGCCAGTCACTGTACAGCACTATCAAATTTTTCCCACATTGAGTAATTCTGGTTCCTAATGGAGTTCACACTACCTACCTACCTACCACAAAACATCTGTGATTTAAATTGTTTGATGAAATATATCAGATTGAAAACCAACATTAGAATCAACGGGACACTAAATTACTTGACTCTCTTGAGCTTTGCCCTCGTGGAGCACTGTCAGTCAGCGTGTCCCAACATCTTTCCACACACTCCACAACGATTCTGAAAGTGGGTCATTAACACATTTTGTCATGTTACGCAATTTCTCCCTCCCCTCTAAACTGGGCTTTTTTCCAGGCCCAGTAGCCAACAATAAATCAATCACAGTCTCTCACAAGCCTTTTGACTTAAATCCTGTCCTGTAGGTTGGGCTGAAACCAGAGCAGGAATCACTGCAGGAGGTGAGACAGGACAGGGCTAGTGGTGACTGCTGCTCAGGAGGTGTTTGCTTGACCCACTGCTGTTCTTGGTGCCACTCTTTGTGGACTCCTCTTCAGTGTCTGTAAGAGAATCTTCCTCCTCTTCATCACTCCGGTCATCTTTCAAGTCCTAGGGAGAAGAAAGCACTGTGAACATATTTTACTGCCCCCCAGAAACACACCTTGCCCCCAAAATGGAGACTGACATCCAAGGGGAGATCAATTAACAGCACTTTAATTCTGCAGAACCAAATGTCCTTTAGACAAAACTGCTTCCATGACCTCAACCCAGCCACTTGACCTCTTGTTCATTTCTGCTTTTCCCTGTAAAGTGTGGCTATTAATCCCTGGATGCTGTGGGATTAATTAACAGGTGTGAAGTGCAGGGAAGATGAAAAGAATATTGTTTAAAAGCTAAATATGATGAATACACTCACCCAAACACAGGAGCTGAGAGGCTGCCTGTTTCTGACAGGTGTAAACTAAACAGTGATGAGTTGTGCCAGCATCTCCTGGCACCAACTTTGCACAAAGACACTTGCTGACCCTAAAATGCTCTTTCCTGCTCAGTGGCATACACAGCACATCAACACTGGCACAGGGGAGGCTGTGTCTGTACAGCTGTTGTGCATCTTGGGTTCATCACCCTGCTAAGGGAACTGCCCAGGGGGAGAATGGCTGCTCCAGGAGCAGGGATGGAAGGGGTCAGCAAGGAGTCTGCCCTCAGGAAAATCCCTCCCCAGCTCCATAGGGACAGCTCCTAGCATTTGGCAATCATGCTTCATCCCAGACAGTCAAAAATGGAAACAGTGAATGTTTCCACCACAGAGAGAAAATTCATCACATCTACCCCGTGTTTCAGGGAGAGGTGAGACCATGCTGTGCTGTTTGTCACGGCACATAAAAAACCACACCATTTGTTTCCTATTTCTCAACTCCTGCCATAACCCAAGGCCCTAAAATGTGTAAAGAAGTTTGTTTCAAACAATTGAGGCTTCAGCATTAAAGCCAAACACCCCTCTTTCCTCCAGTGCAACAAGCTCACAAGAGCAGCACCTGCCTGGAGGACTTTCCACACCAGTGGGTGACCTGCTCCACAGACTCAGGGCAGGATGCTCTAGTGAGAGATGTTGTACATCCAGAAAACTCTTCCTTCTTCCTAATTCCTGAGAACAGGCACCACTTTTTGTGTGTCTGTACTGCAGGATGCTGGGGTTCCTCCTCATGACAGAGCTCTGCCTCCTAAGCCTGTGCTGGAGCTGGCAGGAATTCAGCACAGACAATCCCCTGCCTGCACAGCCACACAGGGACCACTCCATCATGGATCAATCTGCTCTCATGTCATCCAGCTGCACAGGCAGAGGCTGCTTGTGCTCCCTGTGATGTGCCAAGGTCAGAGCAGTGACGCAGGGAGGAGAAACCAGGGTTGTTCCTGCCCCTCCTGTATCTGCTCTTGGAATGAATTAACAATTCCACTTCCTTAGCGTGCTGCTCTGAGGTCTTTCTTAAGCACCAAATTCATACAGAGAAAATAAATAACAGCCCAGTAATAAGTCATCCAATTGCAATCTCATATCCCTTCATATATTACACTCCTAGTAAAAGTATAGGGCTAGAAAGCAAATTAAAGCCTGAGCTCTGGCTCATCACAAACTATAAACTTCCTGGAGATTTTCTTTTGCCTTTTCCCTAACAACTTACAAAGGGTATCAAAACAAACAAATCTTACTGTAAATACTGTAAAATAAACTTGGCATGCCATCAGTTAGAGAAAAGGCAAGACAGCCTTTCCCACACAATTTATGAGGTTCTGGCTCTTTCAGATCACCTCACTCCCTCCTGGTATTTTTGCCATTTGTATTTGCAGTAAAAGACAAATGCTGAGGGGTGGGGGGGAAAGATTGTTGCTTTTCTGCCACCAGAAATGTTTCAGAAAGAAAAGCAAACTAATCCTAAGGAGTGTCTGATGCCAAATCCACTGCACTCCCTGAAGTGCTCTCATCTCCCTGAGGCTGCACTGTGGGCAGTGACAGGAGCAGCACTTTGGGACTCCCTGGGAATAATGTCAGGGAAGTCTGGGGTATTTCATTTGGAGTCCCTCCTTGTGCTGCACACAAGTTGCTGGTGGCTCAGGCATGTGCTGAAGAACAGCTGGCAAACTGCTCTGCTTTGAATGATGGCCAGTTTGTGATATTGATTCCTGTTTCCTACAGGAATGAGCTGGCATTTCCAGCATGGAACTGGAAACTCAGATAGAGTTGGATTCCCAGTTTTAATGCTGTCAAGCTGGATGCTCTGATTAAAGGCACTATATGTAGTAATTAAAGAACATGTCATGTTTTTTTCCAGCTCACTGTAAATCCCTGCCTTTGAGAGAACATCTTACAGATTTCAAAGCAGCAGAATTAAATTTCTTCATATTCTGAAGTAATCACTGCAAATTTTCTTAATTCTGGGAAAGAGTGTTACTTCTGAAATCCTGATATTAATCAAGAAAAAATGCTGCTAAATTAAATCTAATTTTTATTAGATTTTGTAATAGTAAACTTGCTTCCTGACCAAGTGCCTCTACAAATTCCTGCTTTAGGAGAGTCTGGCCATTTTTGTCTGGCTTGTTTAAGTGACAGAACTTGAAATAGCAATAGCTTCATCTGTAACTGGAAATCCAAACAAACCTGTCTTTGCAAACTGTTTAACAGACCATTATAAATATATTAGGATATCCTAAGTGAAGTTTGTGCCTCTTAACTTTGACCTTCTAATAATAACAAAAGTTGTAACATTTGTAGGATTTTCCCCACTTTAATACCAAGATGTTTTCTCTGAGCCCCTCACATCATATATTATACTCATGTTTTCCAACTCAAAGGCTCTGCTCAGACTGTCCCTGAGCAGCAGCAGATGAATATACTATCAGGAACACAAGAGCTGGCAAACTGTAAATACCACAGCTGAGGCCATCATTAATACTCAATGCTTTAGTTTAATGGCATCAACTGCATTTCTTATACTTCAGCTGGTTTTGGGTAACAGACAAAATGGATGTGTACGTTTTCTGGTTTGGATGACTAACCAATTTAATCTTTCTAAATGGATGAATGGTTTCAAGGTTTATGAGAAGCAACACTAATGCTATAAAGTCTGCAAGAGAGCCATTTGTAGTGAAGCCAAAGCTACAAACTTTTATAATCTTTTTTTTCCTTTTGTTTAACCCTTCCACCTGCTGCTCAGTCTGCCTCTTTTAGCTAAATGAACCGTATTTGTTAAGGTAGTTTTGGCTTCTTGCATTTCACTGCTGTTAGAACGTGTCATTGAAGCCATTAGCACTAGATGAACAGTGAAGGACCCTCTAAGCGACTTCATGGAAAAAAAGAGTTCTTCAAATTAAGAGATGAACAAAATTCTCTTGTTAGCAGAAAAATACTGCTCAAATATCCATCTAAACCAGCAGAGAATTCACTCCTAATTGTACAAGTTTGTCTCTCAATAAAGCACTCGGAGATCTCTTCCCTCCTGATAAGCCCTTGGCCCTGCACTGTGCCCCAGCTGAGGAGAGCAGCAGCAGGACAGGGCTGTGCTGATGGAAGCTTTCCTGTCCCCTGGGCTGGTGACACCATGGGACCCTCACTGCTGAAGTGGGGCTGGGCAGACCCCACCCTTCACTGGGAATGTGGCATCTTGGTCCAGTGCTGAGGTCACACTGCAGCCAGGGCTCCATATCTGCCCCAGCAGGGCAGTTCAAGTGCAAAGTGTAAGAGCAGAGGCAAAGACAGTGCCAGGCAGTGTTAAAAGGCAAAAATAAACTGTAGCAATGTGGATTGATCCTACAAACAGAGAGGAAACCTTAGCAACGTGCCTCTGCTTTCTCAGAAGGGGGAGGGCCCTTGCTGGCAAATGTCAGTTCCTGTGAGGATGGGGAGGTCTGGCACAGGGTGCCCACAGCAGCTGTGGATGGATCTCTGAAGTGTCCAAAGCCAGGACAGGCCTTGGAGCAACCTGGGGCAGTGGAAGGTGTCCCTGCCCATGGCAGTGCTGGGATGGGATGGGCTTTAAGGTCCTTTCCAACCCAAACCATTCCATGATTCCAACTGTGTCCATGTGAGTGGTGGGAGATGGTCCAGGCCTGACCCACCTGGTGGAATCAACACTGACTCCAGGCTTCTCAGCAGCATCAGAAGATTTCAACTTGGCCCCAATGGGACAAGACTAGAACCAGTTAATTTTTTGGGCTAAGCAAAGTTTACATTCAGTTAACTGGATTTCTCTTACCAAGTACTGATGTATCAAAACAATTCAGAGCTGATTCCAGAATTTTGTTTTCTAATCTGGTGAAATTCCAATTTCTGGACTTTCAAATACTTATTCTTAACATTTAGTTGGAATTTTCTGACTCTTAAATGTATCTTCTATTAAAATCAGAACCTTATACCTTAATTCTACCTTAAAAATATTTTCATTTAAACATCCACAAACACATTGACTAGATCTTGATTTTTCAATGTAAAGACAGTAAATTCCACAGCACCTGCACGTATGGAAACAGCTTGAAGTACAAAGATGAAAGCTATTAGTCAGGTCAGCAACCACTGCCTCAAATAAAAGAGATAATAAACAAGAGAGATTATAAAAAGTCAGTCCAAATAGATAGGAGGGGGTACTTTTCTAACAAATAATACTATAAAGTTGATGAATCTCCGAGTTCAACATGTTGAATTCAACATCAATAATTCAAGTCAGCTGACATATGACTTAATAAGTCTTTACTTTCCTATTGAGACTAAGCAATATACATTTGGATTCAAGCAAACTCTTCTGTATTTCCAGCCTGGAAGATTTTATTGGAAAATATATTTCCCTTTTCAGCTCATACATACTAGGCAACATAAATAATGTTTATCTTCCATGGAAGATGCACAGTTGGACTCTGCTTTCTGCAGGTTTAAAATGAAGATGCAGACTTTCTAAGTTAATTGTATTGGACATCTTGTGGCAAAAAGTCCTCTTATTTTATCTCTCTCTTCTATGTAATATCCATTCCCCAAGCTTTCCACTGGCAGTTTTCAGAGGGAACTCAAAGAAGACTTGTAAAAAATTAAAAGTTCCACTAATTCCACAATTATTGGAAAGAAC